ACATCTCCATTCTTGGGTCGTGAGAAGTAACTCATTTTGTCAGCACATCTCACATATATATATATCCTATGGATACCAGGAGAAGGGGGGGGGGGGGGAAAGCCTACCTATGATAGATAGTAGGCTCTACAATGTAGTATGTGTCGAATACATTAAAATGCTTTCTTTTATAAATGAGTTGTGCCCCTTGGTTGACCTAATTGCTAAACATGTCATGTTAAAGCCAGCCCCCACATTAATATTAACCCTAACTCTGGCAAGTGGTTTCAACAGGAATGGCAGGGCCAGTCAGCCAAAACGTGCACATGCTTTACAAATCAAATTTATGGACTTGCATCAAATAAAAACCCTACAAAAGTAAATATTTTCTGAAAGATAATTGAATGAACTTTTATATTTTGCCATTGAACATATGATTTTATTTAATTTTCAAGGGGTTATGTAACTTTGAAATCCAAGATGGCTGACATAAAAAATTTACATGCTCATTAGCATATTCATCAATCTAATGTATTTCTTGTTATAAAAAATGTGAGATAGCAGAAATATAGGTTTTTCAATTACCTTTCAGAAAATGTATAGTTTTATAGGTTTGAGAAGAACAGGTAATGAGTTATGACTGTTTCAATTTGTCATGTGGTCTGTTTCGAGCGCAGCTGATACTCGCTAATTTCATACCATACTCAACATAAAAACACTATAAGTACAACCATGTGGTTTTCAGCAATCTGCTGGTAGTCTGTAATAATTAGTATAGCAAAAGGAACCTACTTTACTCTATAGCTCTCCTTTTTCTGCCTCTATTAGACTCCCAAAGTAGTAGAATCTAGATATCTAGTGTTCCATTTGAAAGAGAAGTTGGGGCAGGATGAGAACTGGTTCATGTATCCCCATTGTCTGTCAGATCTAATCCCAATCTTGACTGAACACCAATAAATCCACCACTAACAGTGTCTGAATTACTTTCCCTGGTCAATTCACTTTCAAATGTATCCAAAAAAGATCGATTTTTGGCCATTTTAGACCCACACAAGTGATAGATCTACACTGGCATTAGTGGCTTGTGACCTGATCAACAAGCTTTCAAAACATCCCTCTGTTTTGAAAGCAAAATACTCTTCTCCTAAGCCAGAATGGTAGAAATATTCTGATTGGTTGGAGGTTAGCCTTTTAGCCAATCAGAAATCACTTTAGGAAGCCCCAAATATTTAGTTGGAAGGCAGAAGCAGCAGTTTACTATATGGTCCTATGAGATCGGCCCTGCCAGTTTCATGGCAGGAAATGGGCCGATCTAATCGGCCCTTGCCAGAGTTAGGGTTAACCTGTTCACTGCTGGGTAGACGTACGTTTTGGCTTAAATTCTCCACTCATATTGTTTCATCTGGTTGACAAAAGTTTGAGTTGTTTTAGTTACAGCTTGTGATTTTGCTTATTCTGAAACAATTCTCTGTGTTTAAATATTCCTTGAATTATTTAATCTTGTAGGTACAGATGGTAATGGACATTTTTCAGCAGTGAGGGGGTTAAGTCTTTGTTTATTTTATCAAAGTTCTCTTCATTGACATTGCTGCTGCTGCTACTGTTGCTGTTGTAATGTTGTTGTTGTTGTTGTTGTTGTTGTTGTGTTTGTTGTTGTTTTGTTGTTTTGTTGTTGTTGTTGTTGTTGTTGTTGTTGTTGTTGTTGTTGTTGTGTTTGTTGTTGTTGTTGTTATTGTTGATGATGATGATGATGATGATGATGATGATGATGATGATGATGATGATGATGATGATGATGATGTTGGCCGCGAGGTTGCTGCATGAAGAGACTTTTTTTTTTAATTGTTTGTTCTTTTTTTCTTTTTCTTTTTCTTCTCCTGTAAAATACACTCAAGAAGTCTATAATTTGAATATTAATACACGAGACTAAATGAAAACAGAGAAAGAAAACATATCCACAAGCATCTTTTTAATGGTTTCCGTTTCACATGCAATTACACGTAGTTTCTCCAATAATGCTGCGCTGTCAAATGAAATCCCTTGGAAAATTATCAATACAATACTATAGGAATGCAGTACACAAAAAATGGTAAACAATAAGCATACATCTGTACATGAAAGTAGAAAAGCAATAGAACATGGAAAATAAAAATTGCCAGGTTTGTGTGACCAGAAAAACTTTAGGTCGACGTGACGACATACAGACAGAGATTTCGTTTGTTCGTTTCGTTGACGACAGGCTCATTCACGCAATAACATTAAGTATAAAGATCATGCAGTAACGAGACAAGACAAACGAAATTAAAAGACGGATCATCATAAAGAAGTAGGACCCGCCAGTGGCACCCTCAAACCACCCGCATCTAGTCTAGAATTAGAAGGGAAAATGTGAAATTCAATTTGAGCAAAGAGCATTTTGGAGCATGCACAAGTCTTCATAATCTGTTTGTTGTCCTGATCAAAAATGACATTTGACATTCGTTTGTTGTTATTTGCTCAAGAAAGACATTTAATGAACAGACAAGAAATGACACATGGCATTCTACAATCTTCTCACAATAAAATTGACAGTAATTCAGAAGGTCACATCTACCTGCACAATGACCCAACTCCTCAAATTCTCTTTCTGAAGCAGGGAGACATAATACATGACACAATGGCCAAAAAATTAAAAATGGGAAAATTTCGCTTCACGACTGGTCATATCAATACATACAGCACCTTAAATTATCTGGGGAAATTATGATCCCTGGCCCAGCACATCATGTGCTTTCACAAACAGCGCAGAAACCAGCCATGCACATCTCAGGGAAGCATAGTTTTATTTTAAGTAAGAGGCTAAAGAAGAGGCAACTAAACTATGCCATAAGGGCGATAGTCATCCGTCATCCTTTCTTTTTTTCATAACATAAATCTCAAAATTTGTTCAGAACTCAGTGTATATCCCAGCAAATGGTTATGCTGTGGAAGTTTTAAATCATTGGCTAGACATGATGAAAGTTTTTCCCCAAATGCAGAGCACTCAGTCTTCTCAGAAAGGACACAAGGATGAGGGGAGATAATCTGAAAGGATGTTAAAAGACCACTGGAGGAATCTTACTTGGCTTCAAGCTTTCCAACTCACATAAGAGTAAGGGAAACTTAATTCGAAAACTTAACTCTTTGAAGACAAAGATTCTGGTTATTCGACAACGTTTGAAGTTGAAGACGAACTGTTTAGAAGTAGAACTTCTGGATTCCTGCAGATTGCTCAGTTGTTCTCTGTAGCTGAAACTTACAAATGGCAAGGAGTAACATGCATACCATGAAATAGGCGAGGCAAACTCGAGTTTCTGATTTGTGTAGTATAGTTGGGGACGTGCCACGACGCGGTCTTTAGTCTGCTGTGGGACATTGTGAAGCAGTGTGGTGGAAGCAGGCTCTCGTCAATTTTGGGGCATGTAGAGTTATTGGTATGATCTTAAAGCTCGTTCACCTGTCTTTATTTGGATGTAAAAAATATCCATTTATCTTGAATACAAGTACAAGTCGAGATATTTGCAAAAGAAGGAGGTGGGGGTCTCCTGTTTTCAGAAGTAAAATCAGTGAGAAAATTGCCGCCAAAGATTAGTTATTTACTTAGCTTAAGAGTCCGTGGTAACAGAAAATTAAAATTTTTTGTGCCTTTAATCAACGCAATTCAGAAAAATCCACACAGAAATGAGTTCTTTAACGGACATGAAAGGTGGTGAGCTAAAAAAACAAAAATTCGATAAAAAATCCCAAACCTGCGGAAAAATACAAGTTTCTTCACTTTGATTATTTTGACGAGAGCCTGATTCCACCACGCTACCTCACATATCGTCGCCTCAGAACTATTTTGTCCACCAAAGTGCCTCTTTACTTCAGGGGAGGAGCGACCCTGGATTTTGCAGATTTTGGGTCAGGCTATGCACATTTTCTGTCGGCTGATTTTTGAAGATCAACCAGTTTTTTGTCGAAAAATAGCGTGGATACAATTGAGAAATCTTTATACTCCTCATAAATTGCCTTTGAAAACATGATGATGGGTTAATATAGTGATTTTTCACAATAATTGTAAGTTTTCGCAAAACGAAATATTTTGCCGTTTTTTCCCTACTCCTTCCTTAGTTTTCGTCCTTTTGACATGAAACTTTCAGGAAACGTAGATGACAAGGCTGCCATCAGTGTAACAGAGAAATATTTGCGAAAACAATAACACTTTTCCACTGGCAAGCGATTACGAAACATACATTTTTTAAAAGTTTTTTATATTTTGGGAAAATTGGGAAAATTCTTTTTTTTTTTTCTTTTGCACTTATTGAAATAAACTTGCTGTTACTCTGATAGGGTCTGGTTCAAGTATACTCTCATCAAATTTGGTCAAATTTGTTTAGGAAATAAGAAAGCCTTAGTGATTTGAAATTCATTGTAAATAAAATGGCGTATCAAGAGATTTTACTATGCCTAACTTATATGTGTACTTAGATTTGATCTTGGGCAACAAACATAGAAAATGGTCCTCAAGTGTAGCTCCTCCCCTTAAATACACTTTGGACAAAATAGTTTTGAGGCGACGGTATACGTCCGCCACGTCTTCAAAGAGTTACTGCCACACAGTGGACAGATATTCCCCGGGTAACCAAAAGCTTGAATAGCCGTACGCTTCCCAGGAGGTTTAGATTGTTTCAGAATGTTATCAGGTCTGCTGGGGTAATAATAAAGATTGTAAAGCGCATAGAGCTTGCTGTTGAGATGGAATTTGTGGTATACACATGCTATATATTACAACCTACTACTATTGTTGTGATTAAATCTGCGTACAAAAGAATTAGAGCCATATATTTAGCGTGTCGTACAAGCAACGTCATATAGGCAACCAGGATCGTCAAATGTTCCTAACTCTCATGACGTCCATGGAACTGAATAAAGTTTAAAATTTCGCATTTTCGTGACCTACTAGCTACGTCATAAGACAACTAAAGGGTTAAAAATACTTTTCAAAGGAAATAAAATCTTTCCCGATAAAAATCAAAACGACGTCTCTCTGAAGTCTCTCTTGAGTTGACAAGAGTGCTCCCCGTCAGACAGTAGTGACCATGTACTCACTCCCCGTCAGACAATAGTGACCATGTACTCACTCCCCGTCAGACAGTAGTGACCATGTACTCACTCCCCGTCAGACAGTAGTGACCATGTACTCACTCCCCGTCAGACAGTAGTGACCATGTACTCACTGCAGTAGTAAATGAGTAAAAAAGGGTAACAAACATGTCTGACCCTCCACACAAGCTAAACAGAAGTTCCATCCGTAACACTTGTTTGTTTGTTTGTTTGTTCGTTTGTTTGAGTAAAGAGAAACACAGTGACAAAAATAATGGTCATTTAATGCTGGGGAAAAGTAAGACAGACAGATAGACAGACAGACAGAAACAACATAGGGGATATTAAAGAAGAAAGACCTGCCAGTAGCGTCCTCCAACCCACAAGCATCTGCAACATACACGCGACCATAGACACACATTGAAAAAGACAAGGGAGAGCAGAGACCATGCATCTCAGGAGCAGCATACCATGAGAACATTTTCAAGTACGTCGCTAGAAAAAAAAAAAAAAAGGAAGAAAAAAAAAGCATAGACCTCATTTCCTGACACTTGACCTCCACCAAAGCTACCATAGCGTACATCGAAAGACTTGATTACCCAATCCCAGAGGCCCCTTGAATACACAAATAAATATAATAATAGGTAAAAAAAAACATTTCAATGCTACATCTTCAATATTGTGACCCTAAGACAACGAACAACGGATCCATAAATTGAATCCATGCCACTAGAGTAGTGCCTGACTATCAACATGCCGGTGCTATGTTCAGATGTTGACGAGAGAATTACCAGAAATGCCCAGAAACTCAACAATATTACACACTGAAAAACAAAACAAAAATATAACACTGCTACTTTGCTGTACTGTAAAACATTTAAAAAAACAATTCCTCCCTCAAAAGGCGTTTTTCACTTTTAAAAGTTTCTTAAAGTAGAAAAATTCGGAGGGAAAAATCACCATGCTTTTCAAAAACAAGCGTGAATTAATTCTCCCTCTACATCATTTTGATCAGGTAAAATTTGAACTTTAGAATGGCTGCAGCCACAATGAGGGAAACTTGACACAAAACATCCATGGCAGCATACAGATCAGTTCACCGGCGTCTGTGGTGCAGCGGTTAGGCACTTTGCTGTTGTACACAGGAGAACCCAGTTTGATTCGCGGGTTGGGAGAATTATTAACGAGTATCATGTTCTTTCTGCTAGGATGTTGTATCCTTCTCAGCCTGGGTTGGCCTGCCACAGGGAGGGTCTGGAGCCTGCACCCTAATTGACCTAAATTGTGTCGATGGGAGCGTAAAAACACCTACACAAAAAAAAATATTGATAGATTTATTGTAAACGTTCTTTGCTCCCATCAACAATAGGGGTGGGCTACTTAGACCCTGCCTGTCAGGGCCAACCTTGACAGAATTACACGGTAAAACAGCTTCGTTATACGGGAACTGAACCCACATTTTCTGTGTGCAACGACAGAGAGCTCGACTGTAACACCAAACACGCCAGTCAGCAAATAGAGAGGTGAGCTTAGTTAACACTTTGCAGTCACCCAGCCAGCAATACAAAATACCCCATCCCGTCACCCAGTACAAAATACCCCATCTGGTCACCCGGCCAGGAGAGTGACAGCAACGGACTTCTCGGTCCTGCCAGGTTTGTAAAGGGAAAATTTTCACTGGCGCATTATTGTGGCAAGTGATCGCAAAGTGTTAAACGAGGCTGAAGAAGAATCTAGAAAGAAAAAAAAAGGACTCACAAAGTGTCTTTTCTGATCTAGTAAGACAAAGGCATGCACACAAGTTTGACATACGGCACATTGAACAGAAACTTGCACTACAAAAATATTACGCTTTCATAGCGAGAAAACTGAGAAACTCTCATGTTGTTTGCTCAACCTATCAAGCAGGCATGGGCAAACTCTGTGGTCCAGATCCGGTCCGTGAGCAGTTTCAGCCTGGCCCATAAGTCAACCCAGTAATTAATCATGAAAATGGCCCATGGTGAGTTGATGATTAATAAAAACAGAACTGCCCATCTTGAAAATTAGAAATTAGAATTAGTTTCTGGCAAAAATGGAAACAATAGATCGAATACTTTATCTCATGAAATTCCCTTGAGGACATTGTTATAGCTTATAGTGTCAATTTTTGTCTCAGTTTAGAGAGCTTGGGTGTTTGAACCCATTTCATCCAAATATCTCTTGTTGTGGCCTGCCAGATATTTGGAATCGCCTATAACCTGACCTGCGAGTTAGACATGCTTGCCCATTTCCTGCTGTAAAGAAGGTCAACAGTTACTCATTTTTCTTGCGACAGACAGGCATAGCTGTTTCGGAATGAAGAACAATGGCATTGAAAAGAATAATCTACAACGATGACACGTCATGAATTCAATACTCGAAAGAAAATGCGAAGCAGGTCCCCTCCCTTGGTGCTTTTCCCTCGACATTGTGACTCACTGTCCAGAGACAGACACCGACCTTGAATGTGTCACAACGCGGTGGAATCAGGTGCTCGTCAATTTTTCGACATGTGGAGTTGTTGACATCATCTTAAAGCTTGTTCTTTTCTCTTGCTTTCAATTTTTTTTAAATACCCATCTATCTCGAATAGAAGTCAAGATCTTCACTTTTGAAGGAGATTGGGGTCGCCCGGTTTCAGAGGGGAAATTAGCAAGAAAATGACCGCCAAAGTATGATGAATTCCAGAGCTTGAGAGCACTTGGAAACTGAAAACTTACATTACTTGTGCCTTTCATCAACACTTTTACGGTTAAATCCACACCAAAAACAATGTTATTTTAAATGGACATAAAAGGTGACCAGCCAAAAATGTTTCAATTTGATAAAAACTGCAAAACCGGCGAAAAAATGGCGGTTTCTTCAATTTCATTATTTTGACAAGCGCCTGATTCCACCACGCTGCCTCACAAATATTCAACAAACGGTCATTTGTCCCACCCAGCTCCTGGTCGTCTCACTGAAGAGTCTCACGGCTCGAGAGCGCGGTGGTCGTTTGCGTCAATATCGAGAAGCAAGAGAAAGTTCTTGAGGGGCACGGGGATGGGCAGTTGTTCGATGCTGCTCAGGATCTCTCGGTGTTGCCTCATCTCACTCAAGTGTGTACGGACCGTCTGTTGGGGAAATGAAGAATGGACGAATATATTGTTTGTACATAGGTGTGTACGGACCGTCTGTTTGTGAAATGAACAATGGGTGAATATATTGTTTGTATATAGGTGTGTACGGACTGTCTGATGTATGGATATATTGTTTGTACATAGGTGTGTATGGAACGTCTATTGGGGAAATGAACAAGGGATAAATATATTGTTTGTACATAGGTGTGTGAATGGGTGAATATATTACTGTTTATATATATAGGTGTGAGCGAACAGTCTGTTGGGGAAATTAATAATGGGTGAATATAAAGTTTATACACAGATGAGTGCAAACAATCTGTTGGGGAAATTAATAATGGGTGAATATAAAGTTTATACACAGATGAGTGCAAACAATCTGTTGGGGAAATTAATAATGGGTGAATATAAAGTTTATACACAGA